TGGGTTTGGATGATGGGGGAAACTCGTGTCACAGGCTCTTTAAGCTACCAGCTGGCATCAGAAGCTAACCAATCAGCTCGCTAAAACTGACCAGAAAGCTGAGCTGTAGCTTTCAGTTTTTGGGGTGATTTGTCTTTTCAGGGTCCAGCATGTGGACATTGAAAAAGAAAAAAACAACCTGTATACCTAAAATCCCTTCAGACTTCACAGCTCAATACAAAAGAAAAAGACAACACTGCTGCACTCCAGTCCAAGTATTCAAAGCTAACCTTCATGTTAACAATATTCTCCTTTGACCCACATATTCCCATAAATAAAATCCAGAAACCCATTCCGTTATGCAGCTGTTTTCATAGTGTACTACGGCACATCCTGCATCTGTATTGTTGTTATCAGCAGTCAGAGGCCTCAGTGTGTGCTGCAGTAGCAAACACCATAAAATAAGTCAGAATGTAAATATTAAAAGACTGTTGGTCTCAAAGCCGGCTGTAGTGAAACTCCCCACACGCACCATTTTTTTTCCTTTTGGTTAAAATAAAAAAGTGAATTTCAAATGAACCCCTAGTCCGATAACTCTTAGCTTGGATTTCTGATCAAATCTAATAAAGGGGGTGATAGAGTGTAACCTGTCCAGTACAGCCGATCCTAAACACTAAGGCCACTAGAGTTCATTTGCAATTCAGAGTTAACTTCAAAAGCAGAATCCCATTTCCCCCATCACACATAAAAACAGAAGAACCTTCAGTAACCATTCGTAGTTATAAATAATCCTCCACATTATTTATGTATAAATATTCGAGGGCAAGGTAACAGTGGTGGTGGTGTTGTGGTGAGAGATCAGTCTATGTGGGGGACAGGCACGCCTCCTTTTTACGTTTTTATCTCATTCGGCGACTTTGTCCATCCTATAGACTACAGTGGTGGAGCTGTCCTGGTGTGACTCGGTGGGGGCCACCTTTTTCCAAAGGGGGGCTTTCAGAGCTAGCTCCTGCTGGAGGCTCTCGTAATCCATGGGTCCGAAGAAGAACTGCTGTTTCAATCGACACGAATAACAAATTAGTCTGGCTCCTACTGTTTTTGTGTTCTTTGTGTGTGTATACATTTTTATATATATAAAATGTTTGTGGTGTGTAAATAAATCTTTTGAAATACCTACTGAATCCCCATTTAAGGTTTAAGAGGTTTCTTTATTTAGCTTTAGGAACGGCAGGATCTAAAGCAGGCTTCAGTTTTTTTATCTGTGTGGGCCTCTCTGTATTTTTTTTAACCGAGGTATAAATAGCCAGCTTTGTCATACACACTTGGTTAACTAAGATGCTTATATTCCGTGCTGAACCCTATGCAAAGCAAACTGAATGGTATCCAGTGACCAAACTCAGAAATATGCTTCGTTGGTCTTAAAATACCTGCAGCAATCTCCATGGGAATTAAAAGAGAGGTAGCACAGTTTAAGACAGAGGAAAATCCCGTTTCGCTGTCTATATAAATTGACATGTTTTTTTCCGATAAAGATGTACTTTTTGTACAGTTATGGCAATCAAAATGTAAGCAAACCGCAACAAAACGGACGCAATGAGCTGTTCAATGTGAACTCCAGCAAGCTAAGCATTCTTGGAGAGAAGGACAAACTCAGTGTGTTTGAAGAGGGAAATGGGTGCAGCTTTGTGGGTGTGTTCCTCACAACGTGATGCCGCTGTGTGTCCTTACCCGCTGGTCCCCTCCTTCTCTGCGGGGGTCGTGCTTCTTGGCAAAGTGTTTCAGGTTGTCGTAGTTGTGGAAGTTAAAGAGCTCCACCAGGTCCTGGAATGAAAAGGCAGATAGATAAATCGAAAGGATGAATACAATATGAAATGTAATTCTGTTTCTAAATACCAATAATTTCAGTTAAGAAACAGCACTAGCTGTTATCTGATTACATGCACTGTTCACTGACTAAAGCTAAATTAATTATGAATTTCTTTCAATCCATTTCTTAATAAAGTTTTGTGTTACCTTTCCTGTTGCAGTGTATCATCACATGATAGATAGCATAAGCACTTTGGTTGTACTGTAGACATGAGTGGAGGGGGGCCTGAATTCCAACACTCAAGTGCAAATGCACGCACGCAACATGTTACCTTTGTGTTGCTATTCAATAATCTAAAAGTTGCTTAAAAAGTTATATTGTCAAAATCCAAAATGACATTGAATCTATAATTATTGTAGGTCTAGAGAAAGCCATTTGAAGACTTTATGTGTGCATTCTGCAATAAGGCAAGTGACTGAAGTTGTTTGAAATACAATTACTCCAGAATGCCTCTTTGTCATACAGTAATGCACTGGTATGTAAACATAGAAGTATGTGTTGTTACAGGCCATGCAGTGATCTACTGTCCTGTACCACCCTCACATACCGTGCAGAACTGGATTCCTCTCACTGAGTTCCCCATCTTGTCCAGAGGAGGAGACCAGCACATGATGCCCATCACATTGGGAACAACCAGCAGGATCCCCCCCGCTACTCCAGACTTGGCTGGCAGACCGACCTACAACAGGGAGAAGAGTTACACAACAGAACCGCAGCCGAGTGTATCTGCAGTAGCAACGGTATTTGGCTGGAAAAGGAGAGAGTTTGTTTGTTGTTCGGAATGAGTATTCGAAACGCATTTGCCGTTTTGGCTACGTAAAGTGAAGTTGTGTGTTGTCTTTGCTGGCTTTCGCTGCCGTGAGTTTTGGTCGCACAGTGATGATACTTATACCATTGGAATCTGTGGAATCTCAGCGAGCAGATCCGATGAAGCATAACATATTTCTACCGTGAGTTATGTGCTAAGTGCGTTAGCACTCTTTCGCTTAGTGCTAATTCAGAGGTTCGGCGTTGTGTTTCCGTAAAAATTGTTCATATCGCCAGGTAGCTGAGTTTCTTCCCGTTAAGTGGGTATGACACATTCATAGTTTGTTAAATGTTAAGAAGCCCTCAGAAGCTGTTTCTTGCAAGATGTTGCTTGTTGCCCCGGGGGCGGGGGCTCCCGGGCTTAATAGGTTAAGAAGTGACATCATAGACAAAATATGCAAAGAGTGATATCAATAAAGAGTAGATGTTATTGTTGTTATTGTCAAAACTAACTGCTTGAAATCACGATGAGAATAGAAACATATTTTCACACATTGCTCCCACTCTCTACTTCTTTGGCACCAGGAGCGGTCTAATTAAAATGTGCCATCCCATCAGCCCTAACACCTCGGATCGGGCAGACCATGTGATATGACAGCTATGCTACACTGAAGAGCAGTTAAATACAAGCATACATGCATGTAATAGAAAAAAAACAGGTGTAAAATACAATGACATTCATCACCTTGAAGGACATTATTATTTAAATCAGGAAAGTCTGAAAAGCAGTAAATCAGGTATATTTTTTTAAGGAATGGTGTGGAAACAACCAAAATTGGGATATTTGATTGTTCACACTATTTACATTATGCACACTCTTGTTTCTACTTTATTAAATATACCTGTACAGAACAGTCCAATACAACTGTTCTGACATAACGCTATTTTTAATTATAGAGGTACAATATACTATAACAAAAAACCTAATAATCATCAAGTAATACATTGATAGTACATTAAATTATAATATAATAAATCAACAGTTATTTGACTGCTAAGAAACATTTAAATCATCATTAATAAGAATACTAATTATTGGAAAAGCTAAATCATTTATTTTTAGATGCACACTATAAAATTGTATATACAGTACTATATAATAAGCATTTGTCAATAAAAACAATATATCTGTAAAACATCTTTTCACATAATGGAGCAGATATTGATATGTTTTTTATTTATGTATATGTATTTACATTTATTGTATTCATCTTTTTTAGTGTCATAACAGTTTGTTTATTGCTTCACTGTGTTGATGTGCCGAGCTCACTGTGAAAGTTACAGATGACAGGTTAATCCTTACAGGAAGCTCTGGTGTGGCCGCTGTACTCAGTCCTGAGGTCATCCAAGCTGCATATACATTGCATTATGTTCTACTGTACTGCTACTGTAAAAGTATATTTTATACTTACCTTACTACTGAATTACCATTTTTATTAAGTAATGTATTTTTCCTAGGTAAAGTCTCACAGATATTAGTGCAGTAACGGATGCTTGGTCCCACCTGTTGGGTGTAACCCTGAGCCATTGCTGGTGCAATTCTGTTTACAAGCTTAAACCAGTTTCATTCCATACCTGTTGCAAACCTGCTTAACCAGCATGTCATTTACCAAACATGTGTGTGTATTTTGGCATGTCAGGACATAGCAGATATAATCACAAAAAAGCAGAGAAACTATGTGAGCCTAAAACAGACAAGGCTACAGGTAGGGATGCTCCGATCGATCGGTCACCGATCGATATCGGCCGATACTCACTCTCTACCGATCGATCGGTGCTCTCTAAACATGCCGATCGCGAGAGCCGATCGCATGACGTAAAATACATGACACTTTTCTCTGTGCGCGGCAAAACAAGCTCGCCAAAATGGCTTCACCGGCCTGGCATTATTTTAAGGTGTCCGAAAAAGACAGTAAAATAGCGGTATGCAACGTGTGTGAAGCAGAAATCCTGCAGCTCCGCCCGCCGGACCGGTAAGCGCAGCGAAACACACACACAGGGAGAACCAGACCGCAGTTCATTTCCTCATATCCCAAACGAGAAATTACGGTAGCAAATCACCCGGTTCTTTACGACCAGAACTATTAACGGGATACAAACCGGAGGAACCAGGCATGGAGGGAGGTGCCAGAGACAGTGGGTGAAACTGGTAAGTTTTCGCCTGTTTGGGGAGTTTATATATATATATATATATTGCTCGCATAAAATCCCCGGGTTTTTTTGCTTTGTATGTCGGGGGCGGGAGATTCATGTGATTGGTTGTTGGTCGCGTTGCTCGCAAAAAATCCCCAAGCTTTCAGACGCGCCCAGCTCCAAGATTTTTAAGATTTTTGAAAAGCTGCTGTGTGGACGGACGTACCGTAAGAGTTAGACCTAACACACTTAGCTATTTTATCTACCTCTGGATCAAGCTAAACTAGTTATTATAAATATATGTATTCTTCATTGTCGGGTCACTCATTACTGGATCAGTGAGCTGCATGAGATACTGACAGGCTGTCAGGAGAGGGGGAGAGAGAGAGGGAGAGAGGGAAAGAGAGCGCTTCCGCTAATTTCTCCCGTGTTATTATCCAAAGTGAATGTAAACTTGAATAATGTACATCATTTGAATGTAATAATTAAGTTGATTGTTGTTTGTGGAAGCTCCAGTGAATGAGCCCCATTAACTGAGTTTTAAACATCACTTTAAATCTTCCATTTAGGCCCCGCCCACTCGATCGGATCGGCGATTGGTATCGGCCGATACTGATTCCGGCGATCGGCGATCGGCCCCAAAATTGGCGATCGGAGCATCCCTAGCTACAGGTAAACACAACTGTGTTTACAACATCTCATTATGTCCAAAACACTCAAATTCAGTTTACAGCTCTGGCACAACATCAAAACTCTTTGAATTTTTTTTTTTACACAGGACCAACCCTGCCATCACCCACAATTATGATAATAATAATAATAATTAGTAGCTTTTGTTTCTATGTCTGGATTATAGCCTGCAAACACATATTTGGAATGATTTATAAAACAGTTTAAAAAAAATAAAACAAAATTTTTTAAGACTGTGACTAAAGTATAAAGTACAAATAGTAATGCTTAAAACGCGGCCAGACTTCAAAGGTTTGACTCCTTGGCCATTTTAAACAAAACATATGTCTCATACTATACTTGTGATCCTATCCTTTTACTTACATGGAAAGCAAACTGTCCTGAGAAGTCGTACATGCCGCAGGAGTGCATCAGACTCAACGTGTTCCTCACCGCCTCGGGGCTCAGCACACGTTCCCCCGTGATGGGACAGATGCCGCCGTTAGCCAGAGTGGCCGCCATGACACTGGCGCTCTCACAGGTCACCTCAATGGAGCAGAGCTGCAGGTTCACACATAAGGACAATTTGTAGAATTTCTCCATCAATATTTTCTTGCACTGCAGAGCATCTTTTGCATCACGCCGCATGGAAACTTGGTGGTGGGGGAACAGGCGAGCAGGAATGAGAATGACGCTGGTGGTGACAGAGGAATTCAATATGCAGCTCACATTGTGGCCACAGGGGGTTAGTTAAAGGTCCCATGTCAGGGCCATTTCTACTGATCATAATTCCATTGTTGAGGTCTACTAAAATAGATTTATATTGTGCAATTTTCCAAACTCACATTGGTTTCTCATACAGCATCTCTGTATAGTATGTGTATTCATTCTGTCCTAAATGGCTTGTTGGAGCTCCTGCCCCCCCCCCTCCCCCTCCCTGTGAGCCCAATGGCCGTCTGCGAGACAGCGAGACACAGCGAAACCAGCTCGAACTCACACACCCGCAGCCTCGCCGCGCCCCGCCGTCTCAGGCGGAGAAATCGGCGGAGCTGCAGCTGAGAAGAGATTGAGGGTGTGTGTAACCTAACGGCTCCGCGGATGTAATGTAACGGCTCCACAGATTGGTCCATTTGGGTATGGGCACGTCATTGTACCCAGGAAGAAAAAGAGAAATCTCCAACGAGGCGTTCTGGGGCAGCATAGACAGGTATTTTCTGTGTTAGAGTTTTACTCGCTACAGGGTGTACTTTGAGGCTTTGTGACTTTGCAGACCGTTTACATGCAGAAAAACCTTCACTGTGGGGAACTGGAACTGGAAAAGTATGACATGGGACCTTTAAGGTTTTGATGAAAATGTAATCAAATGCTACTGTATGTCCCTCACAGCAACCGGTTTAAATTGTCTCTATTCTCTCAATAAAAACGCAGAAAATAAAGTGTAGAATGGTATTCTGCCCTCATTTAAAGTTTCAGACACCTCTGAAACCAAATCTATGTACTGTTTATTGCAGGAACAGTTTTTAATAGCTACTGTATGAGTAGTTTACAGGGAAGTTAACATGATGAGAACAGAGAGTTTGACAGAAAAAAAGTGATATGGGGCTAAATATGGTAGAGAAGCAGAAAGTCGATCCATCCAGGATCTCTGACCCTGACAGTTGGAATCAATAGAGTAGGAAGAGCAGGCAAACAAAAAAAAATTATAGTCATACAAAAAAAAAAAAAATAGGACTTGATATTGATACTGAATTTAAAGAAAATGGAAAAGAAACCAAGGCTAAACTTACTTGAAAGTAGAAGTCCAGAACAGATGTCATGTCTGTCCCGTCTGGGAAACACTGCAGAGAAACAATCAAAGGAACTTTCCTCAAACACTGAATTTCCATGTCACAATTATTACTGAGACTAACAGGTATGTCTAATAAAAGCAGATTCCAAATAGGCACATGCAAACTAAGGCAAGGCAAGGCAAGGCAAGGCAAGGCAAGGCAAGGCAAGGCAAGGCAAGGCAAGGCAAGGCAAGGCAAGTTTATTTATATAGCACCTTTCAACACAAGGCAATTCAAAGTGCTTTACAAAAAATGAAAGAGATTAAGAAAATGGCATTTAAAATCAGTCATTAAAAAGAAAAGCTAATAAAAGAAACATTAAAAGAAAAAATACATGGATAAAAGTTACAGTGCAGTCTAAGATATGAATAGTTCAATTAAAAGCAGCGACAAAAAGAAAAGTCTTCAGCCTGGATTTAAAAGTAGTCAGAGTTGCAGCGGACCTGCAGGTTTCTGGGAGTTTGTTCCAGATATTTGGAGCATAATAACTGAACGCTGCTTTACCATGTTTAGTTCTGACTCTGGGGACAGAAAGCTGACCAGTCCCTGAAGACCTGAGTGATCTGGATGGTTCATAATTTAGCAGAAGGTCAGAAATGTATTTTGGGCCTAAACCATTCAGTGCTTTATAAACCAGCAGCAGTATTTTGAAATCTATTCTTTGACACACAGGAAGCCAGTGTAAAGACTTCAGAACTGGAGTGATGTGATCCACTTTCTAAAAAGATTATTATATTTAATTGGGGGACATATACACACGGCGTCATGCGTTGAAGCTTGTCGACGGGCGTGTTTGAAGCTCGACCAACAACCAATCACGTGACATGAATCTCCTGCCCCGGACACACAAGCAGCGGTTTGGTTGGCTCGAGCTTGTACTGGCATATGATTTGATTGGCTGACGCATCCGTCGAAGCTTCAAAAGTTGAACATTGCTCAACTTTTGAAGCGAGCAACGCGAACAAAGCGAAGCTCCCACAATGCACTTCGGCAAAGTGTGACGTCACACCATTCAAAGTGAATGGGCAGAAGCGTTGAAGCTTCAACGCACGCCGCCGTGTGGACGGGCCGTAACTCACACCTTGTCTTACTTTATTTTTTTTTACTTTGTTCAGTCTTACAATTACTGTTCTTCAGCTTTGCAGGGCAGATAGATATCAATAGAGTGACAGAAGTATACAACAGCAACACCCTATGACTCATCCAAGCTCAAACCTTTTTCTCCTTCAGGTAGTAGCCGATGGCAAAGTTCCTGTCCCCTGTCTCACGCTCCGACTGGAATCTGTCACACAAAGATCAGAGCACTCCCATTAAATAGGGGAAGGAAATATTTGGCGTGTGTGTGCGTGCGTGCATTTGCACTTGAGTGTTGGAATTCTGGCCCCCCTCCACTCATGTCTACAGTACAACCAAAGTGCTTATGCTATCTATCATGTGATGATACACTGCAACATGAGTCTCTCTGGGCTTGCTCTTTTCTGTACACATTGTTAGCATATGGCGCCATCATAAATCATGCTAGTGACCTTTCAAGGTTCAAGGTTCTTTATTGTCAAACTAACATAGCTACAGAGTAATTATGTCGTTGAAAATCAACGGTCACAGGCTTCTCCAACAATGCAACACAATAATACAGATAAGCAGACAATATTAAAGCAATATTAAAGTATATTATATTAAAAGTAATACAAAAGAAAAACAGTTCTAAAAAAAGTGAGAAAAAAAAGTGAAATACGAGTCTATATACTAGTTATTGGAATGATATATTAGATGAGAGATAAATAATTACTAAGTAGCAGATGAATGTTGTGAAATTGTTTCAGCAGTTCAGTTGGTTAACAGTCTTATTGCCTGCGGGATACAGACAGACTTTACAATACAGACCGCATTTCGTCCGTCATAAATAACACATATCACCTAATGAATGTAAGTAATATCAAATAACTGCCGACTTCCAACCTATACTTTTGTGACCAATTTGCTAATTGCCTACAAAGAGACCAAAATAACTATAAATAGATACACAAAGAGACTTCTGAACGACTATGAAGGTAAAAACATATAAAGTGACACAAAATGACTTCAAAAAGACATAAAAATTATTAGAAAGATACATAAAGTCACTACTAAGAGGCACAAATGACCTCAGCAAGACACAAAACAATGGTGGAAAGAATAAAACACCATAAAGTGACACAAAACAACTACAAAGAGACACAAAAAGGACCTCAAAAAGACATAAAACGACTAAACACAGAAACAAAAATACCTCATAAAGACCCAAATTGACTACTAAGAGACACAAAAGGAACACAAACGTACAAAAGAGCTACAAAAGGACACACAACTTATACCTCATTCACACCAACGCAACTCCGTTTCAAGCTCCGTGCTAGAGATTTTCAGGTTCAGAACCGGTTCTTCGGTTTAGCTCCGGCTCTTTTCACACTGCCCAGAGTCTGACTGGTGCTACGTCATTGCGTCATCGTTTGCGTCATGACGTAACCGTTTGCGTGCCTGCTTCATAAAGCCAAACCGCGCGCGGAAACCCCTCACAGATGACACCGACAACAACAACAATGGCCGATTGTGTTTCTCCATCGTTGTGTACAAACTGGATAAAACGCGGGCTTTTTGTTGTTGTTCAGGAGTTGATCCCGCCCTGCCCCTGCCTCGACGTAAGCGTGACGTATGCAGTGCTTTTGCTCTGGCCGGACAATTTTTTGGTGCTTGAAACGAACCGGATTCCGGAGCTAAGAGGCTGCTCCGCTGCGGTGTGAAGAGAAAACCCAGTGCTTTTCAAGCTCCAGCTCTAATCCGTCACTGAGCCAATTGGCCTTTAGAGCTCGTTATCTAAGAGCTGATTAAAGACACCTGCCGAGAGGTGACCAATGGTGGGGGGTTAAAGGCTCAACACGCTACAACGTTTTGAGCCATACAGAGTAGCATCTGCTCCTTGATCTCACGGCGAATTGTAAGTGGCTACTGCCTGAGATCGCATGCTGTGTTTTTATTAAATGTGCCAACTGCTAGGACTGTCTTAGGGAAGACAGCTTTTAGATGCGCAGCTTCTCTGTCTTGGAATAGTCTGCAAATTAAATGGAAACTGAGCAATCTGGTGCCACTAAATGTTTCTAAAGCTCGGTTGGATGCTACTCAATCGGAAGCTGTTGGTACCTGTTCATGTGGATAGTTATTGTAAATTGTAATCCCTGTAATGATGCTGTAAAATGTCCTTTTTGTTGTTCTGTTGTTTTATGTATTTATGTTTCATGTGGAACCTACTTCAGCAGGTCTCCCTTGAAAAAGAGATCAATGATCTCAAGGGATACACCTGGATAAATAAAGGTTTGAAATGAAATGAAAGCAAGTGTTCTGCTTTGTGTGGTGAGTGAAGGAAGATAACTTTGATAACATCAACTCATGATTTAGAGGGACTTACGTGGCGTTGTTGAAACCCACATACTCGTTTCCCGCCATACGTTTCAGAAAGTTCATGACCTGGAGGAAAGCAGAGTGAAAGTTGATACAGTGTTATTTACATTTTTTAAAAAGGCATTACAGCCCCTTTAATGTCTAGCTGTGAGCAGTTACTACATGTTCTTGTATACTGCATGGTAGTATAGCAGCACACTTGTTAGTATACATAATCACACTTCATTATGTCCTTTCTCTAGAGTAAACATTATGTACTCAACATCTACTCAGAGTTACTGTGTAGTAAGGCATTTAGCACAGCTCATACGCTTTATTAGACAGTCTAAAGAGGTCAATTAAATACACAATAATAAAACAGCATCTACTCATCCTAGGGGACTCTTCATAAGGTACATAAAAGTGAATCAATACTTTTTACTTTAATATTTCACCCGGTATGACTTCTAATACTTACATAATCAAATCTTTCTGCGTTGCTTGCACCTTGCTGTTGAGAGAAGAAAATAATCAGCAGTTAGTACGATTCATTCACAGAGGGATTTGTTTGCAGAGGACAAGCACAGCATCATTATAGATCAGACTAAAATATGAATGCTGACCAAATAAAACTACTGAATTAGAAAATACATTTGTGGATGTTTATGTAAAAAAATAAAATAAGAATCACATGACTTTTGTCAATAATTATAAAAATCGATAACAAATATCAATAGGATTTGATGAGACTTGATTACACAGTGGAAGATCTTTAGACTTAAAAAATGGAGATTTAGTAGACATGTGCATTAGCAGACCTAAGTCAGTTAAAGAAACACATGTCCCACCATTATGTCTCACTGATTCCAAATAGGGGGCTCAATATTCTCTAATCAGTAAAAAGGTAAATATGTTGTTTTTTTTGTAAGCTGAAACAGCTGTGACTGTGTATGTTACTATCCAAGTAAATGTAAGTGTATGCAGCTAGGTTTGCATTACAGGTTACTGTAAAGCAGGTGTATGTGTTTGAGGATGATATGTCAACATGTGTCATGTGTCAAGAGACTGTCAGACAAAACAACGGGCAGGATACAAAGGGAGGAATGCTTTTCCTCTGAGAATAGAATACACAGTTTGTGTACCTTTTTGAAGCTTATTATGTTGCCTATCGCACTGCAGAAAACACAGCAAAAGTACAAATGGACATGCATGCACATTTATAGTTCTGTAGCATTAGTTGCAAATATAAAGGATGGTGTGCGCATATTTTTAACATTACATTTAAAAAGACAAATGCATTATGTGTGACAGTACATTTCAAAGATTCTACACTTTACTGTGCAGAAGAAAAAGTGACACTGATGGAGGTGTTAAAGAGTCACTAAATGGGAGTTCTACAGATCTGATTGGAGGAGAAAGAGAGAAGAGTGGGGTAGGGGTCTGGGGATTGGGATTGGGAGGAGAAAGATATGGAAAAGGAAGAAAAAATTACCAACGTCATTTGACCTGCAGCAGCAGTCATTATTTCCCACAGTTCCTATGTCTGTAAAAACAGCAACAACATGTAGCCTTCAAGCACCATGTAACAACAGTTCTGCCACTTCAACCATCTAACAGTTTCCCCCCCCCCAAGCTTAAAGCTAATTGGGCGACCTGACCTGGCATTTCAGACATTTGAGTCTCAGTATAGAAAAACAAATAACACTGAAACAATGGTGAGCAGATGGACAATGACACTCATGATCGTCTCAGAAAAATGTGAGGAGATGTGTTTGGAGCATTCCTGGGAAGTGTCTTTAGTCATTTAGTATGTCCAACAGGTCTGCTGTGTAATGAAAGCTTTATCTGAACATCAATCTATTAAACTAAAACGATTTATATAACATGTATTATAACATCTAAATGAGGAAGGTGTTTTGACTGGTTGATTTGCTTGAATAATGAGGAGTACAGAGACAGTAATAATATTACAAAGGACCTTACTTGGAAGAAAAAGAACAGAACGAACTGATTTAATCTAATAGAGGATTAAAAAGTACAGTTGGTGCTCTTCTAATGTTTCAACTTATCTGCTTACACCACTGTTGGAAATGTTTAAGAGTTATTTCAACATGTAAGCCCTTTCCCTTGGAGAGTGAGATGAATAGATCACCAAAATAATGTCATGGACGTGTTTAGCTAGTTTAGCATGAAGACAGAAACAGGTAAACGCCTAGCTTGGCGTGTTCAAAAGCACACCAACCAACACTAAATCTCACTCATTTACATACATTTGTTAATTAATATGAAGAGAATTTGTTTTGCATTTTTTGGCACTATTTATGGGGAATTATCTTTGGGCAAACACCAGCTAATTCTCCGAGTCTGGTTATCTCAGAGAGGCTGTCGGGTCTGCTGCTGTTAGTCGTTCTTAGATACCAATATCATAACCTGTGCTCACAATATCCTACATCTTCCACTAAAAACAACACTGAAGCACTTCCAAATACTACTACATTCCTGGTTAGACGTTTCCCTTAAGTCTTTTTTCTAAGCTAGCTATTTTAAGCTTTCAAATTCGTACTTAGTTAATTGCTTAGTAGATGCATTTACTCATGTTTTAGCCACTTGGTGCCGGCGGTAAATCAGTTAACGCAACTGTTAAAAAAATGAAGTTAAAAAAACATGGAATTTCATCTTAGTATTCTTTCAGCTGTTTTTGGTTTTTATGAATTAATGGTAAATAACTTTAGGTTATTGGCTTTCATATCATCTTACTCTCAGGGAAGAAAATGCTGAACTATTGCAACTACTAAAAACCAAGTTACCCATCGCTGTGAAAGATATCTTCTTTGAATTTTAGATTACCATTTTAATCTAAATTCTACTTCTGTTTGACAACTGTGACGACACACAACAGTCACACAAATGGAAAGGTGTTTTAATGGTATCCGTTGTGTCTTGTGTTTGTTCATTATGTTAAACAATAAAAAGCTTTTAAACATTGCTGTTACACATCAGATCCAATTCATAAATACTGCTGACAAGTTAGAAATTAAAGGTCCAATGTTTCCTCAAGCAGCCTTTGTGTTAACAAAGTGTTAACATAACAAATGTAATCATTTTCCTCAGTGTACTATAACTGGTCTTCAAATTCATTGTTCTTTTGCCCCGAAAGTAAAAATGTTAAGAAACAGTACTACTCGGTTTAAAAATGTACTTTCTGGCACCATGCCATTGTAAAATGACTAACTATGACAATTATGTTGTCAACTTTGCTTTTATTGCACAATAAACTACAAATGTATATCTTGGGCCATTGTCAGATATACACTGTAAAATACAGCTACATGTTTGATAATACTACCATTGTCTCAACTTCGAGTGACATATGCAAGAATGTGATGTATTTAAGTTAAATGGGATTATATTTGTAAACTGATAATAAACAACAAGCACAGGTGAATTTTGAAATGGGAATGTGTTTTGAACATGTGGAAACGGAAAACAAACAGGTTCCAGACACTGAGACTTCTGACAAAGAGTACAAGAGGTCCAAAACCAAATGAAAATCAAACAGGCCACATGCTTCAGCATGCTTGTTCATACATAGGTGGTGATTTGATTTCATTCCCTTTATATATTGCTTCCTCTCGAGTAAAGAAACCCCCACTAATAATCAGATTTCCAAGCTTTGGTATCATATTGTTTCTTACAACATCAACAACAAATATTCATATTATTAATGAACACAAATTCAGTTGCAAGTCTAATTGTTTGGGACAAAAGATTGGCCCAACATAAGGTCCTCTCCAGAAAAACCTACAGTCAGATATCTTTGACTGAGCATTTTGTAGCAAATAGCAGAGAATGTGTTGTGCAGCTCATTTCAAGATATTCAAAAGAAAACATCTGTGATTTAGTCTTGCAGCTATTTATAGAAAGCTCTTTTCTGAATGTGTCTGTGCAAGTGCTAATTATGCAGTGCCAGCACAATTATGTAAAGAGCCCCTGTGAAGTCAAATAATTAAAAGTCAAACCAGAAAATGATGAACACTGTAAAGAGCTTAAAAACATATGGAAAAAGCTGGTGTTAAAGCCATGTTTCACCTCTCCTTTGTTATGTGTGAAACTGTGAGCTGCAGCTCATATGACAAGCGATTCATTTCTGAAGTCACTGTCAGTTATCTGTTTTCACACTGCAGAGAAATCCTGACAGGGTCACACTAAACTGTGGTGAAAAGATAGAGGCTCTGTGACAGGTAAGTATTGACTCACTTCCTGTCTCTCATCATGTGCAGATTGAGGCTGGTTTGCGTGCACTGCACTTGACTAGCTCCACTTCCAGGTTATTTTCAGTAGGGACGATAACAGAGTATGTTTGTGTGCTGGGGCTGGCTGAGTGCCTTCCGGAAGGATTTACACAAGACTTAATGACCACAGGACACATGGCAGTGGACTAAGGTGGTGACCTAGAAATGATTCCAGCCGAGTCAAAAGTCATAAATATCTGAGCAAACTGGGTGTTTGCACCGAGTAAAGGTAAACATGAACTGAATGTGACGTGCATTGAGATACGCCCATTGTTTTTAATAGCTGAACACGCACTAGAGGCACTGTTACTGTTTCTTTTGTAGAGAGCTAAAAAGGAACAAAAGCTAGTATTCTTCCCCAGAGCGTGTTCTTTAGTTATGTTAATAACAAAAGTGTAGTTTCACTGGTTAAAATAACAAATGTCATGTACATGTGATGACTGTATGCAATAGGAGCATCAATTGGTGCACGTCAAATAAGGAGCGGTTTTTAGTTTGTTATTGTTTTCAGTGTATTTGGGTCTTAACTAAGAACACCATAATCTTAAAACATGATAAGAAATGAACTAGGTGTTGAATCAGCTAAAAACTGCATTACTGTGAGTCTTCCTAGCATTGTTTTAAATTAAAGATTTGCTCAGCTCATTGTTAAACAGTCAGTATTATCTGCTAATATTAACTGTATGTTATCCTCATTTTATTAACTTGATTAGCAGCTCACTGATACACCCACCATACACAGAGTTGTATCTCTAAGGTTACAGTGGAAATGGCACAGACTGAACATGAAAACAGAAATGAAGGAGCGGAAAAGTGTTTCTGCGTTTACCTCTATCAGTGAAGTACAAACAATAGCGCCAGCGTTCACCATGGGGTTGTGGGGCTTATCTGCACAAAAAAAAAAAAAGCTCAGTTAGCATGCTGCAGAGGATCAAAGTGTAAACACTCACCTGAGGGCTCTGTATATAGACAGAACAAACGCATGTAGAGCACACATTGACTGAAGATACTAAAAATAAATATGTGTTTTAATAGAGTATATACAAAATAGCAGCAGAATGAGGTGAACAAATGTTTTCAAATGTTACTTTGGCATGTAGCCAAGTTTTTATGACATGAGATTGTGGATGTTGGCACGCACAAAGCTTGGAACACTGACAAAGTCTGTGTGGAAGGTTGCTCTTATTTCAACTCTGCCATGCTTAGCTATCGGAATGAGAAATACTGGATTGATTTCTGGGAGGGTTGCTCCTAGTCTAGAATAGAAATATTTATAAATATAAATTAATTATACAAAGTAACACATTTCTAAAAGTATGAAGAAACATGTGTATTGCACTACAATATACTTTGAATAATAAATGTATACTACAATAAATAACACATATTTAAATAATAATAACATGTTTAAAAGCATGATTAATTTAAATACAGATTTTGCATTTTCACACATCTGTGATGATCTATGAAGATGGGTTCATGTTTGAATAATACAAATAGAGCTGCGATGATGAAGGGTCGTGTTTCAACTAGGAGTGCAACAACTAATCGACTAAAATCGATTACCACATTAGTTGCCAACTAATTCAGTCGTCGATTCGTTGGTGACGTCATCACGTGTGTTTTACGAGCCGTTAAGCTCCAACGTTATTGGTCTTTTTATCGGTACTGGAGACATGTAAAAAATATATATCATGTATTATTGCTACAAAAACATTATATCGCAGTCTTAGTGTCGCCAACTCGTTTCTAATATGCAAAAAGACAAACAAATGCGTCTATGATGTATTTTGGATCAGACGAGATCTCTCTCCCCCGTCTGTGTGCGAGGGAGCGGGGCAGTTTACACACACGCAGCTGCTACATGCAGCGACACACGGAGGAGATGGCGGAGAGAACGCGCTCCGAGGTGTGGTTACACTTTACCCGTCTCGATGTGGAGAATACTTGTTACCATAAGTGCAATGAGAGTTTAGCATGTAAGGGCGGTAACACGAGCAATTTGTCTAAACATTTAGCAAAAGTGCTCCACATTCAGACGGAGGAATGCACCGGGTTCGACTGTCTTTCTAGCAGCTCTGTAGCTCCATCCACGAGTAACGTTTCCACGTCAGGTGTTATGTATGCTAGCAGCAACACACGGAGTTAACTACATGATACAAACATGGGTTAATGATTAGAGGTAACTGAGTTATTTAGTTTGTTAAAGTTTCAGCTATTCTGTTTACAGTCTGTCATCAGATTATTTAATATGATTTGTTAAAACATTGTTGTTTCTTTTGATGCGAAATATTATTTATTTAATTTAAATAAAAAGCAATGTTAATTTTGTAAACAATTTGTTAATTTAATAATATGTATTTTTGAATCAAGTATTCATCTTTATTGTCTTCATTGTTAGTTTCCACATGCCTAAAACAACCTCAAGCTAAATCTAAAAGTTGATGGCTAAACAAGAGGGTTTGAGAAATTGTGCAAGGCATAATAGTCCGAATAGTCGATTAATCGTTTTATTAATCGATAGATTAATCGATTATTAAATTAGTCATTTGTTGCAGCCCTAGTTTCAACTGTGAGTGGAGCTGGATAGATGCCACTAAGCAACAATGAGTCAAAGCTAATCGACTACTGTTTAACTGAAGACATTTATTTAAATCAAATCATTAAAAATGTTTTAATGTAAAAAGAAAATTAGGATATAGAAAGTCTTGCTCTCGTGTTAATCATTCGTCAGCTGGAGGTCAGGTGACTTCTGACCTATTCCTGTTCAGGAGAGTAAAACTAAGAATTAGTTTAGTCTATCTCCATAAGCTGCTCTATGTAATGAGCTCTCTTCCTCTTTAGTTTTAGTCATGCTGTGCAAATGTAATGACAAGAGGACACAAAGTCTTCCCCCCTTAGAGCTCTAAAAGCATTTAAGTGCAGCACCTCCATTTTCTCCCTTGTGCGTCATGCCCTGGCAGAATAGAGGCTACATGTGTACACTCTTCTATCAGGGTAGATAGTGTGTAGGAAAGGAAAAATATACCATGAACTGAAGGAACGAACTAGAGAAAAAGGAAAAGTGTATGGTCTCACCATCATCATCGAGGAAGAGTTTATTAAAGCGCAGGCCACTGGGCTCCTTCCCAATAAAACTGTGCACGTACTCGGTGCCGTGGTCGTGGACAGCGATGGCGTACTTCAGGGGCTTGACACAGGACTGCAGACAGAAGGGGACCTTAGTGTCTCCTACTGTGTGTCTACAAGACAGAAGATACAAGTTATCTAAGCGTGCAAACCAGCTGCAATGTCAGTGAATAGAAAACAACATTTTTAGAGAACCATGAACAGACCACACAATCAAAGGAAAATGTTCTTATTAAGAAGATATCATTTCATAGCATGCTGTTCGGGGAAAACCATAACCTTCAGTGACAGCATGATAACGCAATCTGTTCAGTGCCATGTTATCTCTATGACTTCCTCGCTTACAAAAACACAACTAATATACACACCTATGGAATTTTACAACTGCCGAACGGATCAAAACACCTGCTGATATCATTATACTACTCTTTGGTACATTTCCTTATACTGGTTTTGTTTTTACTGTTAAACACACGCAACACCTGCACAATATAATGACATGTCCTGCAATAAATCAAACCATACATTTCATTAAGCTTCTCAACACTCACAAGTATTGTGAGCCATGACGGTTGTGCAATAGGGCGCTTTTGTCAGTAGGTGTGTCTGTGATTTGTGTATGTGCAAGCTGTGTATTTGTACACAAGTCATGTGTTACCACGTTAAAGTATTATATCTTTCACTATTATTGTTGTCTTTTGTGGAACTGTGTCCAAAACAAACGACCTGTATGGACTATAAAATATATCGTACTGTATTGACTTGAATCAACAAACAGATATTGGGCTTTACTAAGAATATGTATTACACTGCCTTCAAGAAAGAGGATTTGATTTTGTATTGGACCCGACCTCATTAATGAGAAATAAGTGGCACTTGAAACACTTTTATAAACTCAAGGGGGATTTGATTTTACAGTTAGAAACTAAGGAATGGTTCTGAAACTGCAGTAAAACTAAAATCAGGAGGGGCTTGTTTACATTCCGTGCTGGATACCATTTGGTTATTATTTAGCCAACAGTCAAATGGAGTCAGTGATTTCACTCAGAGCTGCCATTATGATGATGACTGATAAACATCCTACAAACAGTAAAGGCAATATGAAAACATTTGAGAAACATGACGGTGTCCCTTTAATACTGGTCCCCGCTCAGGACTCGTGTCTCACCTCTGTCCGTCCACTGTGCACAGGGAGACGGCCCACAGGTCAGGGCTGAATTTGGCGAGCTGAGGAATGTAGTCTGCAACCTGAAAGAGCGGGAAGGAAGATGAAAGAGTGTCGACGCAGCAGAGGCTCACCTTCCACCTCTGACGTCTACTGGAGCTCAGGTTTCAATGGAAACCTAACACCAATAACGACTGACAGCACACATCCTCATGCGTTGACAAGAGAATTCCACCCCGAGAGGCTCATATTAACAGGAAATGACATAGTTTGTTTACTTTTGTCTTCTATGTTCTTACATGACCACTATAGCAACAACTCTTCCGCCTTTTTCCAGGAAGCCTTTTGACAAACCCCAGAGAAGTGTTTCAACGTCACGAAAAAAGGACAATGCTCCCCTTATTATTGACACTGCTCCACACTAAGCTGCCGGTTTTTTATTCTTGAACTCAAAACTATTCTTGAACGCTGAGAAAAAAACTCTGCAGAGTGGATGAACATTGAAATGCAGGCCGTGCTGGGGAAGTTGAACAAAGTTTTGGAAAAATGATGGCGTGACCCTGCCTCTAACTGTCTCCGGTATGGTTCTTTTTCAATTTCACCAAGTTGATCACACATGATTAACTGTGACCGTCAAATATTATTAAAAACTATGGGTCTGAATCCACCAGGTTAATGTGCATGTTGGTACAGTATAGTTATTTGCCAGTAGACAATTTTCTTTTGACTTGTCAAAGCCGTGAGTAAATTACAAAATTAACTGGTGCACCAAAATATTTATGAAGACAACGGATGTTTTCTAACTGAGAACTGTGTTTTTAAATATCTAAACCTTTTAGAAACTAGCACTTAGAATAACTTGACAACACACAAAAAAGTGGTGACAAAAACAACCAAGCACCACTGGTGAAAATAGCAGGTAGTTAGTGCAGGTGGGAACACAACTATCATCCTTTTAACATGTTCTGAGGTGGCTTTTTCCTGCAGGTGTAAGATGAAAGTGTGCCATCACAGTGGTTTTAAATCAGAGTGCTGCGGATGTATAATCAAGGACTGATTACACATCCGATATCTTTAATACCAGCTGAATGCAGACTGAACCCAGGAAGAAATGAATCTGTATTATGATGCTCTGACAGAAACAAAAAAGAAAATAAAGAGCCATAGAGGAAAGGACACACCTGTCCTTCATTGAGAGGTTTGGCACTCTCATACAGCTCATCAATATGGGAGGTGAAGGACTGGAAGTCTGGAATGATGAACTTCTTGCGGAAGGCCTGAGTGAGCAGGACAATGTTGCTCTGGACACACCTGATAAATAAACCACAGATAGCATGCTCAAACACAGTGACTGCATGCAATCGGAGGAAAAGTTTGTCAATCAAGTTTGCAACCTGAAGTGTGACAAACTTCTATGCAAAGTGGCTGATGAAGAAGTTTCAACATAACATATTGATCAGTTACATTTTTAATATAGTGATTAATGATCACTATATCAATGATCAATCCACAGACTGAAGGAAACCATCATAGTGTAGTGACATTATCAGAAGGTTTCAGGGACGTTTTGATGCTCACATTTAAACTAACTTCTCCTTAAGCCTAAATGTGTTACTCATTAAACAATCACTTAAATGTATACTTGAAGAAGGGAATGTAAATACTGAGAGCTTAACATTTCATAAACAGAATCATTTCTACTGTGAAAAAGGAAGGACATTGGGAGTTTCCCACTGACTGCAGTCAATAGATTTATTTGACTAAGTATCTAATGGAAAACCCCAGTATAGGGCATTTTATGATTATATAGGCATACAGTTATGCTGGTTGTTTTCCCCCAAACTGTTACTCTAGGACAGGGGTGGCCAACCCGCGGCTCTCGAGCCGCATGCGGCTCTTTGCCTAGTTTCATGCGGCTCTTCAGTTCATATCGAATTGTATATGTGTGAGTTTGGAGGAGAGACACTGACTCCTGACTAGTGTTGCACGGTGTACCGATACTTGAAAGGTATACCGCGATACCCTGCCGTTAAAAACGTTACGATTCCTCCGTTTCATTAGTAGGCCTATCGGTACTTTAAGAATGACGGGGAAAAGTACTCCGGTGAGAAAGCGCCGTTTTAATAAGAGCCGTGTGTTCAACGCTCTGCTTCCAATCCCTGCACTGCAGCCGTGCCTGCAGTCCCGCCCCTCTCAAGCACGCTCTAAGTCCCTCCCCTCTCTCATGCACGCGCTAGCTGCCAGAGCATGTGAGAAAACGAGAAGCATGGCTGCAAGTGGGAGTGCAACTGCCGCTGCGCCTCGGCTTGTTGACAAAAAAGACGCCAGAAGCGACATTTTGATGTATTTTAGCTATATCTCTGACAGTGAGGGCAAGCCTACGGACACCATGAGGCCTGTCTGTAAGACATTTATTAATTGTATTTAATACGAATTCTTGTCATTTATTTTATTTATTGTTCTCATTGTTTAAAAGGTTGTGTTATGGTTATGGTTCTGGTGTGAAATAAAGCACAATAATTACTAGGGCCGGGACTTTAACGCGTTAATTAAGATTAATTAATTACACAAAAATTAACGCGTTAAAAAAATTAACGCATTTTAAATCGCACTTATTTTTGCACCGCGGAACGTTTCTCACTGGATGAGTTTCAGGCGTACCGATTATACTGGAGCACCAACTAACGTTCATGACTTCAGACAACAACAAACCACAGTGAACAACAGTGGGAAATGTTGTTTTAAAAAACGGACAGATGGAAGCGTCGATAAGAGCACGGTTGTGTGCAAATTATGCAAAAAGGAATTCGCATATCACCGCAGCACATCAAGCCTCAAGTATCACCTCAATGCAAAACATATAGCAGCTAGCGTGGACGTTAGCCTCTTTTATCGCGTTCACACCAAAAAGAGCCGGTACTAAAATTAGTTCATGAGAACCTTTTTACCCCCACGAAAGTCCCTGCTAGAGAGCAGAGAGCTGCTAGAGAGCAGGGACTTTCGTACGGCTCTCTTGTGAGAAAAGAGCTATATTTCTGATTGGCTGGGCGGATTGCAAACCACGCCCCGTAAAACTCCCAAAAAGTTTTGTGAATTTTATTATCCTCGCATTAGCATTATTAGCATTAGCACAGCGCAGAAACGCAGAGAGACTAACTTATGGCAACACAAAATAAAACATGGGAGATGAGGAGGTGTCGGCGTTCTGGCGATTTACTCGGAAGGCTGCTGGGACTCCCAGCAGCTTCTACTGAAGCCAGTCCCCAACTCCGGGGACTTCCGGCCGGGGACTTTGGGCGGCAGTATACGCCGTGAAGTGGTTTGCGGCCTGCCAGTAAACCCAAAGCAGAAGAAGAAGAAGTGACGTCAGCGGCTCATTTGCCTAATCCTCCCCCAGGTTCAAAGAGTTCTCATGAACTAAATTCTCATGAACCTTTGTGGGAAAAGTACTGCGGTGTGAATGCGCCTAATGGTATACTAAAATCCATGTGAAAAAAATTGCTTCTCACTGTTCTCAGGTCAAATATGTATATGTGATTAAAAATGCGATTAATTTCGATTAATTAATTACAAAGCCTCTAATTAATTCGATTAATTTTTTTAATCGAGCCCCGGCCCTAATAATTACATTTAAGACTGTTTCCCTTTTTTAAGAAAAGTATCGAAAAAGAATCGGAATCGCAATTCTTGACTTGGTATCGAAACCAAAATGTTGGTATCGTGACAACACTACTCCTGACAGTTAAACCTGATATTTAGTAGGTCTGTTAAGTATTGAATGTTGATAATTCTGACGTAATTTGGCCGGTCAAAGTTGTTTGGGCTCGGATAAAATCGCTCCGTTATTTTCGTCCCGTGTTACTTTCGTCCCGGCTCTCCCCCATCTCCCCACGTATGTGTGGTGTCAGGTAATTTTCATGTGGCCCAAGAGCCAATCACAATAATACCTGCGATGCAGTGAATCATCACCTTTGAGGGGGGGGGGGAAACCTATCGTTGATTAAACACTATCCAGTGTTTCGCCTACCATTGTCTTGGAGGGGCGCTGCGCCCCACCAACGGAGCCCCTCGCCCAAAAAATATATGTCATTTTTTTTTAAAAATATATATATAGCACCAAATTGCAAATAATCTATAACTACTGTCACTTTTCACATTGAACATGTGCTCTTTTATTAAATAAACTAAACGCTTTCATTTCAAGTTGTGAGTTTAGTGTTTTTGACCCTAAGAAACACTGATGCATTAATCAATAACAATAAGCTCCTCTATCTGCTCCAGAGGATTTAAAAAAAATATATCCCAATGCCACAAAAATGCATCAGTGACGTGGTTGAAATCTTGTCTCCAGAAAACAAAAAACTGAAACAAGCAGTATCAGTGACTGTGTGTTTGATGTGGCTCTTTGCAGTAACATAGAAACAAATGTGGCTCTTAACCTCTGACTGGTTGGCCACCCCTGCTCTAGGAGGTCGTAACCAGGTACACCTTCCTGAAAACCTTGAGTGGTGAAGAGAGCTACTTTTGTACCATAGACACCAAAAGCCTGCTAGTGGACTACAGTATCTTAAATTCTTTGTTATTAGGACGTAAGGCTCTTCATGTCCCACGTGGGGTATAACAAGTATTTGGAGCTTATTTAAATATCTTTAACAAACCACCAATAAATGCAATGTTGCATAACCTTACATTAAATACATTGATATCATTCTTCTTGTATTATGAAACAGAAGAGCTAATTTATATAATCTATTGTAATGAATGTGCACAATTCACACAAAATTAGAATAGCCCAAATGCTTTTTAATTGTTACATTTTTACATGTAGGCAATATGCAAATGTAAACAAACAATCGAGCATGTTTGAATGTGCTAAAAAAACGCCTTTTTTGTGCCAAGAATAGTAAAAAGTTATTGGGAAAGGTGATAAAAAAGTGCCACGATTGTAGATGTACATGATGGGGATTAAACACAGGACAAGACACAACACGCCTTACTTCTTAAACTGGTGCCTGTCGAGTGTAACGCCGTCTGATGAGTTCCTCAGAGTTTCTTTCAGAGTGTCCATGCATTCCTTCAGTCTGGGATCCCCAGATCGGAGCCCAGTCGTTTTAAGTGCCTAAAATGGAGGAATTAGAAACGCTTCTGAATAGAAAGAATGTACAGGAAGCAATCACAAGTACAGAGATAACTTTGTAATGCACTTATCAATGCTGGGACATTACCTTACATTGTTACTTATTAGATGCTTTTACCCAAAGCGATTTATATACACTTAACTTTAGCTCCCAGCATCACATTGAACTGAATTTGAAGGACTTACTGTGAGAAATTTATGAGCAGGAATTGTCTCTTGACCTTCTGCGACTGTGTAGAAGAGCAAGTCCTCCAAACTAGGGAGAATGCCAGCATTTCTTCTCCTAAGAAGACGGGGAAAAAACACATGCATAAGACTTCAAGCAATGTGAAAGTACTCAATGTTAGCATCACACCCCGTAGTCAAATACATAGGATATAGCTGAAGAGAGAGGATTAACATGGGCATTTGTTTTATATGCAAGTTAAAAGAACAGCACTGCTGTGGCAGCTACGTTGATATGCAGCAGGACTGCCTTTAAGCACCGACCATTATACATTACATTACAAGTCACATGTTAGACGCTTTTATCCAAGGGACTCACATACTGAATACTGTGGGCAATCCCCACAGGAGCAATTTGGGGTGAGGTGTCTCAGGGACACAACGACATGCTGACTGCAGTGGGGTTTGAACCTGTGCTCCCCTGATCCGAACACCAACACACTAATCCACTGCGCCACAGAGCCTGTTCCCAGCTGTCCTGCCAGTGCAAACACAGAGCTTATCTGAGGCTGTTGATATACAGTCTTATCACATTAGTGAGGGATGTGAGCGATATATACTGAATAATGCAATCCAAGTGTCAGCAATAGCCACACAGGCGTGTGTGTCTGTTGTTAGAGCATAGAGATCAAAGCCTTAATTGTGCAGCAGAACACTACTGAAGGTTTCATGTTACCGGTGATCCCTTACGAATAACACAAGGTATCAAAGCTGGAAATCAGGATATGACGACAGAGCGAAAGCTGGACTGGCTCCATAAATAAGAGTGATCATGATAAGAGTTAATGATCCTGAAAAGAGTTGTGTAATATTGAATATAGTAAATAACAAGTCCCACAACTGACTCTTTTTCATTGTTGCGCTTCAACAATGGGCTTCTCAGTGTAGTGTTAAATCCAAAACCCAATGATCATATTCCAAAAGAATGTGGAAAGGTGGCACATCTTAGATGTCAAGTAGGACAAAACACTCACATTTCACTTTTGGCTCACATCACAGAATGAAATCTGGGATGTCTGAGATGAGCAACTGTTCCACATAATCTAAATGTTCTTCTAAGAAAAAACAGTCCTGCATTCAAACAGTGAACAACATGCATGAAGGCTACAGAGCTTTGCACTCAGTAATACAGCCTGCTTCTCAGCTCTTCTGCATTGGTTTCCAATCAGAGCTATGTGCTGGTTTGCATATTGTCAATGAAGAGGAATGTCAGGTGCATGTTTCGGCATGATAATGCAACGCATGCTCTCAGCTGCAGCCTGCCGTTTTCACACTTTAGAGGTGTGTCAACAAGCAAGATGTCACAGCAACCTCTCCTTCATCCCAAGCACCTGTTTACTGGACGCACACCATGAGGTGAGGGTATGTATGACTAATTTAAACTATTTGTTTCTATACATTTGTTTACCTCACTAATACGTCCACTCGCTCATAACTGTTAGAATGCAGTGCCAAAAGCTTTTGCACCTGCAGGTAGTACATTTAACAAAAACAGATTACATTACATTACATTGCATTTAGCTGACGCTTTTATCCAAAGCGACTTACAATAAGTGCGTTCGACCAACAAAATACAACCTTGAAGAAAACAGAATCATATAAGTACATCAGGTTTCATAGAGCTAAAACATTTCAAGTGCTACTCAACTGGCTATAGATAAGCCAGCCCTTTATTAGTATATAAGTGCTTCGTTAATCGTTCTAACGCTCGAAGTGGAGTCGAAAGAGATGAGTTTTCAGTTTGCGCCGGAAGGTGTGTAAGCTATCTGCCGTCCTGATGTCAATGGGGAGCTCATTCCACCATTTTGGAGCCAGGACAGCAAACCCACGTGTTTTCGCCGTTGGGAACTTGGGTCCCCCTCGCAGCGAGGGTGCAGCGAGTCGTTTGGCTGATGCAGAGCGGAGTGCACGCGCTGGGGTGTACGGTGTAACCATGTCCTGGATGTACGAAGGGCCGGATCCATTCGCAGCATGGTACGTAAGTACCATTGTCTTGAAGTGGATTCTAGCAGTTATCGGAAGCCAGTGGAGGTAACAGATAATAATAAAAAGCATACACATTTGTTTTTTGTATGTATAGTCTAGGGTCCCTCTAACAATGCAACATACAATAAGACTTGCAATAAAATAGTGCAGTAGACATAATGATGCAAGTAGTATTTGCAGGAATAAGAAACACATCATATGTAAGATAGAATAAGATAGAATAAGATAAACCAAATGTATATACTGTAGTAATGTTTCCTAAAATGTGTGGATATTAGTCATAAGCAGATGTACAAAAGAAAATATGTATCAATGAACAGTGGGTTATAAAGATACAGTGTGTGAGTGGTTAAAACATCAATTTGTTTAGAAAATAGTTTCAATGTAGACAGTACTCAACAGTGAAACCTACCATCAGGTATGCAGTTATTTGCTGCATCTTTAATATGTAGATGATACAAACATAATGCAGTTACGTGTGAACGGCCTCACGTAGTGTCTGAATCAGTGTTATAGCAGGCCAAAATTCCAGGAATTCTCCATTCTTTAGCTCCGCCCAGCCCTCTGTGGCTCTTGGATTAATAAAGCCAACATTGTGGCCCGTTCACATGCTGGCCATGACACAGCAGCAGGTTCTGCAGTGGAGCTCACTTAGAGCAGTGCATTTAACACATTTATGTTACCATTCATTACCTCAATTCATTTTCGATTTAAATTAAAGAATAGGCTATATATTTTGTAAAAATACATAAATAGATCATGACAAGTTACCCCCAACTTTATTACTTTAACTTATAAAACAAGGGTTCCCAACCCCCGGTCCGCGGAGGTGTTACTGCCGGGCCACGAAATAGCTGTGAGTTTATCGTAATATTTGCAGAATTATAAATATATAAAAAAATGTATCATATCTTTTTTTAATTTTCGCACCTATACCAGTCATAGTATTTCATAGTTAATCTTTCACCAGAAAACCGTTGAAAATGGCTTTTATGATGTTCCGAGGGATTCGGCGGCTCAGCCTGGTCTCAGCCTCTCGTGCGCACGAGAAAGTTACCGGTGCGCCAAGTAGGAAGAGGAGCGCACAGGAGACAACCGTTTAATTGCAGACTGTTATGTTTATGTGGGGAAATGGCAGTGCATACATTATTTGAGATATATTTCAAACTCGGACTTCATTTTAAGGACATGTCGGCCAGGGGTGTAGAGCTCTTTGTTTAAGCACCGGATTGGCAAAACAGCAGAGTAAACCAGTCTGCCTTGATCTATGAATTCATGTCCGGGACTCTCACGGTATCTGCTGCCCGCAGCTGTTTTATAGAAGAAACCCTCCTTCACTTCATGAAATGGCTGCAGCATCAGGAGGCAGCGGGACGTATACTCTGCCTCTGAGAAGTGTAGCACCAGCGGGTAAAGATGTGCCTTTTTACACACCGCCTTCGCTGTGTTTACCTTCATCAGAACAGCTTAAGAGTGACTGCAGGCTGCTACGTGTTAACCACACACACCTCTACACACACCTCTACACACATCGAACTGCCGATTACTCCCCCTTTTATTAGTTTTATGAAGGAGATGTCCGGTCACCGAGGCGCATGATGTGTGTGTGTATGTGCTCTGCTCAGCTCAGCTCTGTGTGTTTGGTGTGTTTGTGTCTGTCCGACACCGGCATTTGTTTTCAAATGACCATGAACAGTAATGTACACACATCTGGCTAACTCCATAGGTAGCCTGTATGCGGGGTGTTCCCAAAATAAATTAGTTTAATCTTAATCTCGATGTAGTGCTAAATGCTGTCGAACGTGCACCGGAACACACACACACACACACACAACACACACACACACAACACACACACACACACACACACACACACCCACACACACACACACACACACACACACACACACACACACACACACACCACACACACACACACACACACACACACACACACACACACACACAAACACACACACACACACACACACACACACACACACACACACACACACACACACACACACACACACAACACACACACACACACACACACACACACACACACACACACACACACACACAACACACACACACCACACACACACACACACACACACACACCTCGTTTTCCCATCACTGGATTATCCGTAAATCATACAAACAAAACCAAAACGTTGATTTATCTGTTTTCCCGTTTTGGTTTAAAAACTGAATAACGTCGGTTTTTTGGTTTTCCGAAAAACCAAAAAACGACACCGGTTCTTTTTTAAACGTTGTTGATATGTTTTGGATGCATATTGTTCTAGTATTTGTTCAGGCTGTTACATACAATTAGCCTCTGTTGCTACCTGCTGCTGGTGAGTAAATATTAAAATCAGTTCAAATTGACAACCGGTCCGCGATTTTTTTTTAATTGATCTGCCGGTCCTTGGCACAATAAAGGTTGGGAACCCCTGTTATAAAACACATAGAAAATGTAATACAACTTTCAACTGAACGGTTAACTCTTTAAAGAAGATTGACTTTTTATATAATTGTATATAACTATGAACATACAAGTGAGTTTATTCTTCCCAATTCTACTTTTGGTATTTATTTAGATAAATTCATATTCCTGTTTGTATAAACCACGATGATGTGCAGTGTTTCCCCTAGGTTTACTGCTTTGGGGGGGTGGCATTGGGATATATTTTTTTTTTAAACCCTCTGGAGCAGAGAGAGGAGCTGTGGATTATTGTTATTGATTAATGCATCAGTGTTTCTTAGGGTCAAAAACACTAAACTCACAACTTCAAATGAAAGCGTTTAGTTTATTTAATAAAAGAGCACATGTTCAATGTGAAAAGTGACTGTAGATATAGATTAGTTGCAATTTGGTTCCAATTTTTTTTTTAAATGTAAACACCTTGAATTGCAGGGGGGGCGCGGGGCTCCGTTGGCGGGGTACAGCGCCCCTCCAAGACAATGGTAGGGGAAACACTGGAGTACTTTGTTTTAGTATATTTTGTTAAGAATGTGACTCTTAATGGCACTTTGTGATTTTGAAGCTATTTCAGTGCAACAATGTCC